AAAACGGGATAAGGAAAATTTCTATAGGTAAATGAAGATAACATAGTATGAGCAGAAAAAAGACTATTTTATCTATGAGACATTTTGTACAAAGCTCAGGGCAATGACCAAACTTCAAGTTATAGAACAGAGAAACAAAACATGAAAAAAGAGGAAACTGAGAAAAATAAATAAACGACCAAATCAAAATGACAGACAAAAGCACAAGGTAAAAGAAACAATGGAATATCGAGCAACCAAAAAACAAAATGTGGAATTTCAGAACTAAGTCCTCATCTATCAATAATCACCCTAAATGTAAATGTATTGAATTCACCAATCAAAAGACACAGTAGCTGGATGCATTAAATAACAAGACCCAACTATAAGCTGTCTTCAGGAGACTCCTCTCAGCTCTAAAGACAAACACAGGCTCAAAGTGAAGAGATGGAAGATGATACTCCAACCAAATGGCAGCAAAAGAAAGCAGCTGCAGTCATACTCATACCAGACAAAATAGACTTCAAGCCAAAAAGTTAACAAGAGACAAAAATGGTCAGTATATAATAATGAAGAGGACAATTCATCAAATAAACATAAAAGTGATGAATGTATGTATACCTAACATAAGAGCACTAAAATATATAAAACAATTATTAACAGAACCAAAGAAAAATTGATAGCAACACAATAGTTGGGGACATTTAACACCCCACTTACATCAACAAATAGATCATCCAGACAGAATGTCAACAATTAAACAGTGGCCTTAACTGAAATGACAGGCCAGATATATCTGATAGATTTGAAAAGAACATTTCATCCAAATGCAGCAGAACACACATTCTTTTCAAGCACACATGGAGTTTTCTCAAGAATAGATCATATGTTGGGACATAAAACAAGTCTCAACAGATTTAAGACTGAAATCCTACCAAACATCTTTTATGATTACAATGATATGAAACCAAGAAGAAGAACAGTGGAAAAACCATAAATATGTAAAGAATGAACAAAATGCTACACAACTATTGAGTCAATGAAGAAATCAAATGAGAAATAAAAAAATCACCTTAAAACAAATGAAAATGAAAATATGACATACCAAAATGTACGGTATACAGCAAAAGTGGTAGTAAGACTTTGTAGCAACAGAGGCCTACCTCAAGAAACAGGAAAAACTTACACCTAAAGAACTAGAAAAAAGAACAAAGCCCAAAGTTAGTAGAAAGAAGGAAATGTAAAGATCAGGGAAGACATAAATGAAATAGAGAAGACAGTAGAAAAGATAAATGAAACCCAGAGTCAGCTCTTTGAAGATAAGCAAAATTGATAAATCATTAGCTAGACCCACTAAGAAGAAAAGGAGAAGGCCTGATAAATAAAATAACAAATTAAAGAGAAAAAAATAACAGATACCACAGAAATATAAAGGATTATTAAGAGAATACACAAATTGGAAAAACTAGAAAAAATGGACAAATTCTTAGAATCATACAACCTTTCCAAGACTGACTCATGAAGAAATATAAAATCTGAATAGACCAATCACTAGCACAGAGACTGAAACAGTAATCAAAAAGCCTTTAAAAATAAGTCCAGGACCAGACAGCTTCAGAGGTGATTTCTAGCAAACAAAGACCTAATATCTATCCTCAGACCTCCAAAAAATGAAGAAGAGAGAAGCCTTCTAACCCATTTTA